TGTGAGCGTCACACTCAAAATTCTCAAAAGACATTACAAGGAACACTCATTTTCTCTCAACTCTTACAAGTATTTCTATGATCTTAGCATATTCACTATATTTTAAGTCCTGTAGTGAATTTTAGTGAATATAGTAGCTGATGCACAGTACATACAATTTTTTTTTAACTGTACATACAGAGCACTAGTGGGAGCCATTAAAACATAAACCACATATTACAACACATACACATAAAGTAATCCCAGAGATTCCTATATTCAGCACAAAGACACAGATGAGTGGACCAACGTTCCAGAGACCTTTTACGACGTCACACCATTATGAATTTCTTTGACCATTTCAGGTTCTGATGAAGAATCAAGGTGCTGAATCAATTTTCAGTGAGCACGTATTTTTTAACCATACACTCCAGGCCACGAAAGCATGATATTTTAACAGTACATTAGCAAGTTGCAGCACAGAGACTCCAAAAGATTTTAACCTGCTACTAGGATAAGCAGCCACCTCCCCCACCCCCCAAAAAAAAAAATCAGCAGAGAAACAGCTAGCTTTAGGTTGAGGAAGTCAAACAAAAGGCTTACAAAGCTCTGCAGCTCCAGACCTCTAACGCCTTCTAGACTGATAAGTCTGCAGGAAGCCACCTGCAAGAATGCGGAGCACAACGTTGCAGTTGACATCAACCTAATGATCAGAACCCATGGGCGGGCAGAACAGGAAGATAAGCATATTTGAAAATGCCAATGAACTACAAAGGATCAAGAATCCTACTCCAGATTAAAAGGCCCTCTAAGTTTTATGTGTCAGAGGCAGAACAAGAAGACAGCCAAAAATATTTATAAACTTTGATTGTGTAACTGACCAGTAAACAATGTGCAATTTGATGCTAGCAACGAATTATTCTCTACAGAATCCACCAGATGTTAAGAAACACTAGGAATGTAAAATACTGGATTTGCACTAATGGAAGGATAGAAATGTCAATGACATCCATAAAATGGGGCCCGGCTTTCAGAGTTGCTGAGCCTCCACAGCTCCTACTGACTTCACATAGCATTGAGAATATTTAGCACTTCAAGAACAAAAAAATACCAAGAGTTTTGGAAAATGAAGTCGCTGAGAAATCAAGCTTTGTTGTATAACAGACCTTCCTTTTTTATTCTACTGCAATTCAGTGGCCGTGTTCCTCTTCTCTTTGTGGTCTCCCCAAATACTCATCTGAGATGTTAGACTCTGTACTTCTCTCTGACTAAATTAGATGATGCTCTCTCCTTCACTTCAGGGACTGGGGAGCAAAGTGAGCAGTGATCCTGCTCTACCTATCCAAAGAGAACGATAACGTCATATGTTTGTATCTCATCTTTGAGCCTACAACCAATGGGTTTTATTAAAAGTACATTCCTCTCAGAACTAGTTCTTAAGAAAA